TATCCATCTGAGCTGATATCTAAATATTAATGATTGCTTGTTGGGGCCTGACCAAATAGTGCAGAGAAAAACAAGAGTTTACATTAGGAAACCTGAGAATGAGCTGACGCTGGTGAGGAAAACTAAGGACAACAAAATGGTTGTAATTATTAGCTGTAATTAGCAGCATTAGGCAAAGAGAAAAATAACTGCTACTTTTTCTAAATATTTGCTAACCATCTCTTTTAAAAAAATAGTCTAAATTTCAATCAAGCTCATTGATGTATAGTCTATAGATTCCATTTTCTTTCCTTCTGTTAAAAAAATCTGAACTGTATTTATCCTTCAACCTCTCAAAAATTTCTCTCATTCTTCATGGTAATAGCAATATTAGCTAGTACCTATACTGCATTTTTAAATTTGCAAAACACTTTCCATATGTTAACTCCATTAATTTTTACAACCCCATGAGGTAGTTGATATTACTATCTTCATTTTACAGATGAGGACACTGAGGTTGAGGGAGGTTAGGTGACTTCCCTAAGGTGACACAGCTAATAAGTGTCTGAGGCAGGATCTTATTTCATGTCTTCCTGACTCCCAACCTACCGCTCTATCCATTGGGTTACCTACCTACCTTGGGACTTAATTCCAACTTTGTCAGCATAGTTGATTTTTTTAAAATGTGAGATGGTCTGATTAAAATGTTTCACAATCAAGTATGAATGGCTGATAGGCTTGTTAATGTAATGAGGAAAACACTCACTGGATTGGGAGTCAAAGGACATGAATTCTAACCCTAGCTTTACTCTGCCTACTGAGATAGCTTCCCTGATGTTGTTTCCTAATCTCCAAAATGAGGACTAGATGATTTCTGCAGTCTCTTCTAGTCCTGAATCCATATAACCCAATATAAAGGACCTTGAGATGTTTTCACTTTTAAAACTGGGATTGATTAACCCAAATGAATCAAATTCATAAAATGGATGCTGTAGTGACATTTTTTGATCAGGGAAAATTTCAAAGTGGCCCTTACCAACTCCTGGTTTTCACCCCTGCCCTAACCCCATAAATATATATTCAACACAAGAAAAACAGGCACTAATGATTTGGCATCCCATTTCTGAAACATCATCTTTTCCTGCCCTTGGGTGTCATAAAACCAATATTAGGAGTAATTAACTTAGAACAATAAAGTCACTGAATTATTGTGCCAAAACAAACAACAACAATAACAACCCTTGCAAAGTCACCTGGCAGTTTTTACTAAGATGAATATCCAAATTTTCCATAACTAGAAAGCTGTTTTCTTCTTGAGTGTCTCCAAATTCCGTACAGTGAGTAGACCAGCATTTTCCTAGACATTATATGGCATCTGCTATCATTTAGCTTCCATTCCATTTTGAAGAGGTGAACATCATTCAGTGGAAATTAAGCTTAAGGAAAGACCCAAGCATAAAAACACACTGATGCCTACAGCAATCTGAGCATAGACAGATTCTTCTGGACTCTGTGCAACACTCCAACCCAACCTCAAAGTCCTTTAAGCCTGCCTTGAATTGCATGTTTTTACCTGCTTCTCAAACTACTTGAGCAGGAACTTTCTGACCTCCACCTTTCCCAGCTCCCCTCCTTGAGTGTCTGTTCTAGAAGACACTCATTCCCAGCCAATGACAGAGTCCTGTCCCGTATCTACAGCCTGAAAAAATAGTTTCTGTAGCAAATCTAACATTTTTCTGCAGAGTTTAACATGTAGTTTGCCTGGGTATAATTTTTTAATGTTTATAAATAGTGTACAGTTTAACTAGTGGCATTAATGATACCTAACTTGCATATAGTCATGCTTTTCTATTTTAAAACAAGTCAGTGTTTATTTTTTACTTTCTTTTTTTTTAATTTTGAGTTCCAAATTCTCTTCCTCCCTTCCCACCTCTCACACATGCACTGAGAAGTCAAGCAATATGATATATATAATACATAATAAATCATGTAAAACATTTTTATATTAGCCATAGCACAAAAAAAATCAAGAAAAATAAAGTGAGAAAACTATACTTTTATTTGCACTCAGAGTTCCATCATTTCTTTCTTTGAAGGTGGATGGTATTTTTCATCATGAGTCCTTTGGAATTGTCTTAGATCATTGTACTAATCAGAATACTAAGTCTTTCATGGTTGATCATCATTACAACATTGCCATTACTATATACAGTGACCTACTAGTTCTGCTCATTTTACTTTACTTATATAGGTCTTCCCATGTTTTTCTGACACCATCCCCCTTCTTATATCAAAATAGTATTCCATCAATCATGTGCCACAACTTGTTCAGCCATTCACCAATTGATGGACATTCCCTCAATTTCCAATTCTTTGCTGCCACAAAAAGAGCTGCTATAAATATTTTTTGTACATGTAGGTCTCTTTACTTTTTCTTTTATCTCTTTGAGGTACACCACTTAGTAGTGGTATTGCAGGTCAAAGAATATGTCCAGCTTTATAGCCCTTTGAGTATAGTTCCAAATTGCTCTCCCAAATGGTTGGACCAGTTCACAATTCCACCAACAGTTGACTAGTGTACCTATTTTCCTTCATCCCTTCCAGCATTTGGCATTTCTGATAGACATGAGATTGTACCTCAGAGTTGTTTTAATTTGTCTTTCTCTAATCAATAGTGATTTAAAGCTTTTTTCAGATGACCATAGATAGCTTTGATTTCTGCCTGTTCATATCCTTTGACAATTTATTAATTGGGGAATGGCTCTTATTTTTATAAACTTGACTCAGTTCCTTATGTATTTGAGAAAGGAGGCCTTTATCAGAGAAACTTGCTGTAAAAGGTTTTATATATATATATATATATATATATTACTTCAAAATAGTACTTTTTATAGATATGTACTTTCCCTGATTATCTCTTTTAATTAGGTCTATTTTTGCTTTTGTTTTGTCTGAGATCATGATTACTACTCCTGCCTTTTTAAACTTAGCTGAAGCCTGACAGATTCTGCTCCATTTCCTTATTTTAACTCTGTGTGTATGTTTCTGTTTCAAGTGTGTCTCACTCTGTGTGTCTTTCTGTTTCAAATGTCTCTTATAAACAACAGTGCCAAATTTAAGTTTGTAATCCATTCTGTTGCTTCCATTTTATGGGTGATCTCATCCCATTTACATTCACAGTTTGATTACTGTTTATTTCCCTCCATCCTATTTTCTTTTGTTTATCTTCCTCTCCTTCTTTATCCCTATTCCTCCTTAACAGTTTGTTTTGCTTCTGACTATTGCCTCCCTAAATCTACCCTTCTTTTTTACTGACCTTCTAAGTTGTCTTAGGCTGGAAAAAAATGTCTCACCCAACCTTTTGAGGCTCTGCTACTTCAAAATTCAATTAAGCATTGTTTTAAAGTTGTTTGGAGGGAGATGTTGGGAGAATTTGGCTGGATTGCTGCCTCTAATCCACCATCTTGGCTCCGCCAGTCATGCTTTTCAGTAATCCCTTCCAATTATTTTTTCCCCATTTTTAGAAAATGTGAATAAACATAGTCACTTGGATTTATAAGAAACAAACAACTAACACACACTATGCCATATTAGTATTTACTCAGTGATAGTTGTAATATACAAGCCAGTTTAAAAGTTAGAGTTCTGGCATTAAAAGCTACATTGTGCATGTCTATGTGGCCTCAGATTCCACAGAGGCAATGTTTTAGCAAAAAGTAAACCCTGAAACCAATGTGTGAAAATACATTTTTGTTCCTGTAAATTTAAATAATTTCATTGTCTTTCATCTTGGGGAAAAATAAATTTCTAAGAACCATCTGAACAACAGATATGTATAAATTCAGTTTTATATGATACTATATGCATTAGTACCACAGAATTAGGGAAACAACTTTCTTTAGATATGTAGAAATCATAGCAACCTCTTCCTCACCTTTGGAAAGAGATACAGTAAGTGGTTTTCAACACAAACATGGTATTTCATTCAACACTATTCAACTTATTAGAAAAGAGATGTTCAATTGAACACAACCCATTTGGAGCAGTGATGTCAAATGGATCCCTGGAGTCCACCAGTTAACTTATAAAAGCACAAGTTAACATTCTCTATCTTGTGTTATATTTTTATTTATTTTGTTAAACATTTCACAATTGCATTTTAATCTGGTTCAGACCAGGAGTTTGACACCTCTAATTTAGAGTATAAAGAATAAATTAATACTGAAAATTGCTAATAGCAAGGACAGTTGAGAAAGAATTAAAGAAATAATGAGGTTGAAGCCTTAGTCTGATGAATTAATGGCAGACCTTAGGTATCAGGGAAGTCCATAAGGGACAGATGTAGCTGTGCACGAAACTACAATATAGTTTCTTCCTAAAGAAGTATATCATAAACACATTGAATCTTAGCTTAAAGGAACCACAGGGGTCATAAAGTCTAATTGCTGCTGAGTAATTCCTTCTATGACATCCCTGGCAAATGGTTATGCTGGCTGCATTTGAAGACCTTCAGTGATGGAGAACTCATTACATCCTGAAGCACCTGTTCTACTTTTGGACAGCTCAAATTGTTAGGAAGTGGAATTCCACATGCCATCATAATGTTGAGCTGAAATCCACTTCTCTATAACTCTCACCCATTGTTTTTAGTTTTGCCTTCTGTGACTGAACAAACTAATGCAAATTATTCTTTCACATGACAGTTCTTCATACATAGCACCCTCTCTGCCCAAGTCTTCTCCATTTCCCTGAAATGTTTCTAGTATGCCATGGTTCAAGTCTCCTCACCATTCTAGTTACTCTCCTTTAAACACATTCCAATTTGGCAATGTCCTTCCTAAAAATCAGAAAGTATTTATTGAGTGGATGGGAAAATACCCAACAATTAAGACATCTTTCTGCATTTGTATATATATGCACTTTGGTCCTCATTCAATGTTTTGCTTTATAGTTTACAGTATCAGTGGACTTTTCTGGTCCTATAACTTCTGCCTCTCCTTAGTTACTGTTTTCTCTTTCAGGTTCTATATTGAAAGCATTTCATACCTAAAGGATAATGCCACCATTGAGCTATTCTTCTTGAATGCAAAATCCTGTATCTACAAGGTAAGAGTTCTCTGTCAAGACTGAGAGAGTTGTTTTCTGAAACTTGATGACATCATTTAAAACTGTGGCTCACAAGATTTCCAGAAGAAGGCCTATTGAATTGATGTGTACATTTCTGTGAGTTAGAACTTTATGTAACAAAATATGAGATATTAAAGCTGTAGCTTCTGGGCTTGTTTCCTTGTGAAATTTCCTTGGATTTCCTTGATAAGTGTTCAGGCAACAGATCTGTAGGTACCTTGAAGACAGTTCATTGCTATGTAACCCATAAAGCAGCCTATTTTGAAAGGTCTTGCAAAAATATGGATATTTATAAGAACTTGGTTCAAGTTCTGGATCTATCACTTCCTTTTGTATATCACTTTACTCCTCTAAGCCTCAGTTTCCTTATCTTTTATATGATAAAATCATATTACACTACTGATTTAAGAGATTTTTGTAAACATTAGGACATGAAAAATGTGTTAACATTATGAACACTACACTTTCTGGGGGTACAATAGAATGGGAGTTAAAGGGAGAACTGAGAACCTAGTGACAAATTCAACTAGGGAGAACCTAGTGACAAATTCAACTTGGAAAGATTTCAGCATCTGCCACTCTCTAACTTTTCCAACTGGTTTCATGGTATTTGAAGGAAGTTAGCTCGGTAGAACCCCAGCTGACAGTCAAACTTGGCACCTGTAGCAGAGGTAACATCAACTGTGAAAATCACCGTTTCTTCCCTCCCGTCTCTATAAAACAAATCAAACATATATAAGGGATTTGAGCATTGGACCAAAAGCCATTCAGGCTTATAAGGGCACAGTTATTCATTTTTCAGTTGCATCTGACTCTTTGGGGAGCCCATTTGGGGTTTTCTTGGCGAAGATACTGAAGTGATTTGCCATTTCCTTCTCCAGCTCATTTTACAGATGAGGAAACTGAGGCAAACAGGATTAAGTGACTTGCTCAGGGTCACAGAGCTAGTAAATATCTGAGGTCAGATTTGAATTCAGGAAGATGAATCTTCCTGACTCCAAGCCCAGCACTTTAACTACTGCACCACCTAACTGCCCCTTATGAGGGCCACTTGAAGACAAAAGGTCTAAGTAAGTGATGAAAGGGGCAAATGATAGAAAATATTGAATGTCTTGGATTATGGAATTCCTTTTACCAAGATGGTACTCATTTGGATAATTCTATTTTAAAATATAAATGATGGACAGACCACGAGCAAACATTATGTTTGAGCTCACAAATTTCAATAAAGGACATCTGAAGGAACATGTCACAATTTTTAATCTTCCTAATGAGCAGGACTCCTTTAAGTTATAACAAAGAGAAAACGGAGGATCTACTAGTTTTCATGTCAAAACAGGCTCCAGTAAGATTTCAAAATACTTTAATCCTCACCTTGTAAACTTTAAAGAAATGTTGCCAAAATGATTCCAAGTAAAGAGAATAGCTAGTTCTAATGGAAGCCATACTATCAGGGTTCTTATCCTGGGTATGTGTGCTGGAGCCAAAGTACAATATCTCCATTTAAGTAGTTGCTGACTTAATTAGAAGGTATTTGGAAAGGCCTGGATTAAATACTCTTTTAATTTCACATCCTTTTTATTATTCTGCTTATTGAGGGAAATTCAAATGAACTTCCTATGTACACAAAAAATTGATATACTTGTGTGATTTTATATGCAATCCTTGTGTTAATAAGTCTCTCAAGACACAAAGGACCCAAAAATACCATGAGGAATTTCTCCTTCTCTCACTTCTCTGGCCTTCCCCTACCCACCCAGATAACCTAGGAACTTCCTGTCTGATACTACCCAGTAGGTTATTGGCCACTCCCCTTGTAAATGCCCAAGGCTCAAAAGATAAACAGATTTATTTACAGATAAAGAACACAAAGAGGGTCTATATCTCCTCCAAACCTCTCTCTGGGCTTCCTTTAAGTCTCAGCTAAAATCCTACCTTCTGTGGGAAGCATTTCCCTGTCCCCATTAATTCTAATGCCTTCCCTCTGTTAATTATCTCTAATTTATCCTGTATTTAGCTAGTTTTTATCATTTGTATATTGTCTCCCCAATTAGACTATGAGCTCCTTGAAAGCGGGGACTATCTTTGCCTTTCTTTGTACCCCTAGCACTGAGCAATGTATAGCACGTTGTAGGTGTTTAATAAATGGTTATTGACTAACATGAAGACTCAGTCAATTACACTATAGCCTAAGATGGCACTCCAGCAGAGGGTTCCTGTAATCATTCTTCCACATCAGTCTTCTCAGGGCAGCTAGGTGGCACAGTGGATAAAGCTCCAAACTTGGAGTCAGGAGGACTTGAGTTCAAATCCAGCCTCAGACACTTGACACTTACTAGTTGTATGACCCTGGACAAATCACTTAACCCCAATTGCCTCAGCAAAAAGAAAAAAAAAATTGGATACCATATCAGTCCTCTCTTCCATGGCTCCCTCCCTCCCTCTCCACCTGCCCTCTGCCTTCCCAGTGGTATTCTACTTGCAGGAGCTTCCTTTGCTGTTGTTCTGCCTCATACAGTTCTTCTTATATCCCAGCACATGTCTTTAGTCCCTTTCCCCCCACCAAAATCCTCTCCTCTTCATTAACCTGTGTAGATGGCACAATATTGTCTGCCTGGGGTTTGCTTCATTGTGTATAAGGTAGAACCATTTGTATGACTCTTCTCCTACGTGTTAAATCAACTAAAGTTCCTGGGAGCCACCACTAGATGGCATCAATCTAAAGTCCCTTTGCTTGGGAATCACTCACTCCGGGAAGAACACTCCATGGTCCACAAGCCATCAGAGTTAAGTTTTTAGCTCAAAGGCAGCTCCAGAATTATTTAAAAGGGTAAAATATACAGCTGAGAAATCCTTTTCCCCTACCACTTTGCAATACAGGTTATTCTATTTGTGAAAATATGTAGAGCTGTCCAACTTGAAATGCCCTGCTTGGGGAAGTAATGGTTTCCTTAACTGAAGCCTTCAGGCAGAGAATGGAAGACCATTTGCAAGCAATATTACAGATAAGATTCCTACTCATCTATAAGTTAAATTAGATGCCCTCAGAGTTACTTTCTAACTCTGAAATTCTTTTGATTTATTGGATACTTTTGTCCCCAGAATGTTGTATGTAAATCAATTTTTGTACATTGGCTCATATTTTAAATGCAGTACAGTATCTTGCTAGTTTAAAGAATTCCAAATAAAATGAACAATCACCTCCTTGCTTCCAATACTCTAAAGAATTTAGATTTATTAGAATGTCCAGCTCCCTAGCACAGTGCCTGGCAAATAGTATGTCCTTAATGCTGATTCATTGATTGATTACTCACTCATCCACTGACATAGTTTGCAAACCTCCCTATCACTCTCCTGTAGCTTAGGAGATAGATAGCCTTTGAAAGTTGTCCTGTCTAAAAATTCAGCTGGTGATCAGCTTATCCGAATTTAGGATGGTCCTTGGACAACAGAGATCAGGGCTATCACTTGACCCCTACTCTGTCTTTTCAGCTTAGTAATAATGATAACAACAACAATAACCAGAACTTTATATAGAACTTTAAAGTTTGCAGATCACTTTACATATATTATCTCTTTTGATCCTCTCAAGAACCCTGTGAGATTGTTGCTATTCTTATCCCCTTGAGGAAACTGAGGGACAAAGCTACACAAGCTAATAAGCTTGTAAGCCAGGATTTGAAGTCAGATCTTCATGAGTCCATGTTCTACATGCTATACCATACCCTGTATCATCTGGATGCCTCTAGTCATACTTGACAGAATTTGTCCTCTGCTTACATAGCCATGAAGGATCACCTCCATACCACAGGGAGGCATCAGAATGGGACTTTAGTGAGAGAATCCCTTCTTCATTTATCTTATTTGCAGCTGCATGTTCTTTTACTGGATCAGGATGCACATCAAATAGAAGATGCCTGAATTTCATAGAATGTCTTTTAAATTACAAACAGACCTACTTCTTCAGAACTTGATGAAGTGCTTGGAAGGATCCTAATCAGACTAAGTTGGCCAGACCTTCTTGCTTAAGTAAATACCGATTTGGGAATCAGAATAACTAGGCTGATTCCAAGTAAGAACTGTTTAAATTCTAATAGAATCAGTCTTATCACATGTCATGAAAATATTCTGCATACATTAATTACATAATCATGCAAAGGTCCTATGAAATAGAAACTCTCTCTCTCTCTCCTCCCCCTTCCTCTCTCTCCTTCTCTCTCCTCACCCCCCTTCTCTCCCTCCTCCCTCCCTCTTTCTGTGTGTGTGTGTGTGTCTCTGTATATCTGTCTTTCTCTCTCTCTCCCTTCCTTCCTCTCTCCCTCTATATATGAGTATCTCTCTATATGTGGATATATGGATATATACATATATGTAACTTACAACAATAAAACTTGTCAATAAAAAAAAACATCTTTGATATCAGTGATAATTGGGTTTAAATTTTACATAGTTAATAGATTTAGAGTCTGAAGGAACCAAATAGGCCATCTAACACACACACACACACACACACATTTAAAAGATGAGGAAGCTAAGACCCAAGGAAGTTATGCAACTTGCCCAAGGTCACGCAGGTAGTACAGGGAAGATCATCAAAGGAGAGATTTGAACTCTGGTTATCTGACTCCAGAGCAAGTGCTCCTTTTATTGCACCATGTTGCTTTCAATGCAGTGTTTTTGTCTTTTTGATGGGTGTATGGCACAGTACCTATGTATAGTACAGTTCCATATGCAGTCCTGGGGTATGAGAGGATACCATTGAATTTCTTTTGGCTACAGTTTGCCTTCTCAGCTGACTGGATGAAATAACTATGACCTTCCACCAGGGGGCAGACGTGGCAACAAATTGAATACCTGAATGGACCATTCAACCAAGCAGTACTTAAAGGAATAAACTCAAAATTTAGGCTCTCAGAGTGGAGTACTTTCTCACTAAAAAAGTTGTTTGGTTTAATAAATGCACATACACACACACACAC